TCATCGCGGGAGACATTGTTCATGCTTGTTGATCGATTACGGCGTGTCGGTGCGACGCGAATCGGTGGTTCTTTCGCGCGCACCTTGTTGATACACCGGCGGCATCGTCCTTTCTCACGGAACAATTCCTTGCGAGGTCGCACGGTGGAACGAAAACACGTGTGTGGAATTTCTAGCGCGAGCCCGCCGACGCAAATTCTTAACCTCGGTTCGTCCTCGTGCAGAATTCAGCGCGTGATCGCTGGCGCGCTCTGCCCTTCGCGCGAACGCCGTTCTCCCATATAAGAGATCTTGGGATCGCAGCAGCTCGGAGATCTCTTCGGTAGCAACCAACAGCAACCAACAAAAGTTGCAGCGCGCACTCGCTTTTATTGGTTAACGTTTCGTTACATGTGTGACAGCCTGCTCCGCAATTGCTCGGTATCCATTCGGTAGCAGTGTAATGTTACACGCCAACGATGCGTAGGTGAGAGAGATACACGTGTAATATATAATTCAACGTGTTAAAAGAATGGTGGGTTAGAGTTGAAACACAATGTCGTACGGTATTGTAATTTCCACAGGGTCATACAAAGGGAGGCGATGAGTAGGCTGAAACAATAGCAACTACCAATCTGGTTCTAATTACTAGCTGAGCTTCTATCCATGAGAGGAGTAATATCTCTCGATAAAATCCTGTTTTCAATTTAAACGATAATTAATGATAATCAATTAAAAACCTCGATTTCCTAATTTAATTCTTGTTACTTGAAACTTGAAAATACATTTATTCATAGAAAAGTTGCAATAATTATAAGAAAGGCATAACGCAAAAGTCATCCACAGATGCTAGTTGCGCATGCGACAGAACCGTTCGAAGCTATCCTGAAACGTTGCTTATATCTATCTGCCATTTCGTAACACGACAGGTGTAATAATGACTGAGACAGTCAGAAGTAGCTATGAAACGGACGCGATTTTTATGGCAGAGAACTGTTAAGAGCTTGTCCCGAAGTGATGTTGCGCGATGACTTAATGCCGTTGAATAATTAAAAAGAGAAAGAAACATTTTAATGCTCTATAAATACTGTTTTCCCGTAATGATATCGACTTTTAAGAAATTTAAGATATTTCGTTCGCAAATATTAGCACGAAAGATTGTTGATTTGCATGCGTAATTCATAATATGGATAATACATAAATGCGCCAATTCCGACCTATGTCAGTTTAATCGATAAATTAACAGCTGCAGAAATGGATGTAAACCAAACAGGTATAACAGATGTTACCTCAATATTACGTACTCCAGTTTATTATAATTCCATTACTCGCCTTCGAACGATGAGTAATCTCTTTTAACGGTTGATTGAAAAACTACTAGCATTATAATTTCAAATTACTATAATCAATACAACTTGCTATAATTATCAAGGCTACGCCTAATTGCAAAGGTCTGATATCGAGGCACTAATTTTCGTGTTACCTTCCGCACCTGCGTGCTTCAGGTGCAAAAAGTTCGACGGCCAATCGCTCGAGCGTCCAAGAATTCTTTGGACTCACTGCGTATAGTTTAACGTAACGTGGTTCCGACTGAGTGATCTCTTAAGGTTACAACCGCGAGATTCCTCGGGTCGGGGATTCGAGCTCGGCAAGAAAGGAGCCGTTATTTTTTGAGGATTCTCCGTCTTTTCCCAGGTCACGGTCGGATGCAATCTCGCGGATATTCTCGGAGTCTTTATCTTGAGATGAACTGACGTTCACTAGCGTCGAATTTATGTTGTTTGTCGTCAACGGCATGCTTTTCTAAGCTTCCCGCAGTTACGCCCTGTTATTCAAATTAATATTATTCAATGTTATTCAAATTAACATGCAAAATTAACGACCGAAGCAATTAAGAAAGTAAATCATGTCCGATTACGGCGTAAGCAGTACGTAAGCAGTACTGTAGCACTCTAAATGCAATATCTACATGTACTTAAATGAATAGATTTGATTATATATTATGAATACAGCAGAGCTGTATTATAAGTCGCGTTTTCAGCAAAGGGCCACAAGACGCACAATAAATATCGCAAATCGCAACGCGCATTTATATCGTTACACGAATGTTTCTATGTTCGCCAATTTAAATTCCGCTTAGCGCGCCTCTTGGCCCGCGGGCATATCTGATAAGCCCACGCGCATAATTTAAGGAGAGGGCAACCTTCTCCACTCCTTTCCTCTCTCGCGTTCACAGTGACGCGCGAATAATTTAATAACACATGCTCCCGAGCCAGAGCGCATCTTCGCGAGCCCTCTTGCACTACGTCGACGCACGACGAGTTCGCAAGGGGGCCTAACATCGTGTTTGTGGAAGGTATAATTGATGCAGGACCAGCCGGGAGATCGCGTTTGCCCTTAAGAGTTTGGAACTGGGTGGAGAAAATATAGGTTGTCTTCGTTACCCAGCCTTTGGTGCGCGCCCGGTCGCCCGCGGTGCAACACGAGGATGATATATTCGCTGCAACTGCAGCTGCGCTGCGCCATGCCGCCATTGCTTGCCGCCGCGCGCCACGCCGCACCGCACCACGCGAGGCGAGTCGAACGGCCATGCCGCGTTGGTTGTTTCATGAGATTTCGAAACTGCCTGCTCGCTTCCCGAAAACAATGAAGCATCTTTCTTTATCATATAGCTGTGGGTGAACGCGTTATTTTAACGTATGCAATCCTGAATGCTGAATGTATCGAGAGAGTCCATAAGTCATCTTCGTTCAACTCCAATCTCTTTTTAGAATATGAAATCAATAAGCTGTCAAATACAACTGCCTGATAGAGAAACTGTCTTTTTATCATATGTAACTTGAATAGATAATACGAATTTAGACAAATTTTAATACATTTTAATACAAAATTGTAGAATAATTTTGATTGCAGTTGTACAAGATTACGCGAATCGAAAGGACTGAACGCGTGTAGCGTGATGGACGAACGGAGATGTGAAATTACTCTTTCTCTTAATGACTGGTTTTGGGTTTAAATAATACGTTTAGTTGGGAATCTGAGATTTTTCTGCACCGGACGAAGTGATCATCCAGAGTTCAGTTTCACGATGCGAACAGGTCTTGCGCGTGTGAATGACTTAACTAATTAGCGTTTTGCGCGAGGCGACCGTGAAGAGACGGCTTTTCTCGCGCGTGCCTGACTCCGTACCGTTAGAACTGCGAATGCATCGAGAATCCGAAACAGTGTGGGGCCTATTTACCGTAATCAATGACTACGCGCTTTACTGTCGGCGATTATGCGAACCTCATTGTTACATCGAGATCCCTGGACTCGCACCTAGCAGTATAGATTCCCTGTTGCGCGATGAATTCTCTTGATATTTCTTCGCGCGATGCGCACGTAGATAAATCGTAGATTAGAAGTCGCTTGGCGAAACGGTCAGTGAGCACCTACATTCAGCCCGGCGGCATGAATGCAACACCTGTTGGATTCCAAGTTCACAACGCGTGTCATTACCAGTTGGACGATGATGAGCAAAAATCGCTTAACTCATAAAATGAAACAAACAATTACTTACACATAAAATTAGTACAATTATTGTGCACGAGACTCCCTATATTTTATCCGAAAGATATTCTTAGAAAGCGTCCTTAGAACATTCAAAGGACATGGGACCGTCCTTTGGACATCTTGAACGTCCCTCTGCACTGTATGAGTCGGTACCGTAAACTTATTTTACTTAAAGTTGTTACTTATATTCAATTTATCATATTGTTTAGACTCAGCTTGAAGAATTTAGAAATAGATTTTTTATTTATATACAATACATTCAATCAATATTATTGAAATCGAGATCGTCGGAGCGCTGCGAATGTGTAATAGGTATATACGTAAAGTGCAGAGATCGACGAGCACTTCGTTCGGTGACAAATAAACCTCGCACCTACCCTCCGAAAGCCGACCAATTAGACGCTATCTCTGCGAGAGGAAAGAGAGAGAAAGACAGAGAAAAGAGACCTGAATGCCCAGCGGCATGAATGCACGGCCTCGATCTCCACGTCGATCCCGATCCCCTCCTTCGGCGAGGGAGCCCGGCATGCGCGAGGAAGGAGACCGGTCTGCAGTTGCGTGTACGGCTCGCATTACGACGCTGAATATTTCATTCATAAGCGGGCCGAGCAATTACCGTATTCCACGAACGTGTGGTGCGCGCAAGGGACGTCCGCGATCGCGCTTACGTACACGCGCGTTGCATCCCGCGGTTGTTGCAGCTGCAATTACGCGAGGCGCGGCCCCCAGCGCGGTGAATGAAACGCATCCGCGCTCCTGTGCTTTTTTCCATCTTTTTCCTTTCTTTGCCCTTTTCCTTTTCCTTTTCCTTTTCCGACGTCCACCTTCGGGCTTCGCGTCTTCCCCCGCTCCTTTTCTTCCTCTTCGTCGATTTCCTCTCAACAGGCGAATCCTGACTTTTCGCACGTCAATGGAAATAGCGGCTTGACTTTTCGTTGATCATGAGATGTCTCGCGTGAGACGAATTTACGGGATTCCACGCGACAGCGAGGAGATCGCAACTGCCGCGCGAGGACGATCTTCGGCCGCGATTCGAGCCGGTCGGAGGTCGACGCGCGGCGGTACATGCGTACGTGTCCCGTTCCGCACGTGAAGGTATGCATTGGGGACCGGAATATACAAAAGAGTAGCGTTAACGAACGAACGCTACTCTTCTATATATTCGCACAACCAAAGTTTTAAATGCCGCGAATTCCGATAATATCTAGCATCACCGTTAACTTTTTGCATGTTCATGAATGAAGATTCAAGCACATTGATGAAAAATTAACGTTTACATAGCTAAACTTTAGCATATCATTATATAATAAGACTATATCGATATTTTTAACGCAAATCATCAGTGTAGGAAACAAATTTTTTTAGTTTTAAACCCTGCGCTCTTAGAATAATTTTGAAGACCAATAAAAATTCTTGCGCTCGTCTCAAGGTATACCGCTAATGACATGCTGCTACATTTCTGCTTGCAGAATTTCCGAGAGCACCGTATAGACGGCGCAGCACTACCACTACTCTCGGAAAGCCACCTGACAGGCACGATGGGTATGAAGCTCGGTCCAGCCTTGAAGCTGCGCGTGATGTTGGCTCGGAAACTCGGTGCCTGCACGGTATGCTTGCACTGTGCCCACTGTCACCAAACGCCGCTACC